AAAATCCCTCGAAAAGTGCATTTTTGGTCGTTTTTTGGTTAAAAACCGAGTCTTTATAGGGAAAATCCATTTTCAGAACGCCTTTTCCACCCAAAATTTACTATTTTTGGGTCGAAATCTGGGTTTGGGAGCTGAAGACAGCTCTAATACGAGGTTAAAATAGATAAAACGAGGTACTAATCTAATTAGCAACTTAATACAAGAAAAATTAAGCCATAAGAACACCTTGAAAAATATTATGATTTTAAAATAAACAAGCGAGGCTCCGATACCGCTGTTGGGGTTTGGTGAGTCTGACTCACCGCCGGAAACAAACCCAAAAACAAGACCGCACTTGCAATAAATACAACCATAAACATAATTAAATTAATCACAAGATTAAGATAAAACGATTACCTTTGGAGTGTGTTTGGCACGACCGGAATGGGATCTTACTTCGAAAGCAAGCCTAAAAATTACGACGGCCTCCAACGATAGTCCACCCACAACTCGACAACCGAAAACGGTCCAATACCTTGGGGTTAGGAAGGCCCGACCAAAACCCGAGTAATTATTGAGTTCAAAGGTTTTCACAATGGTGATGCCTTTTTCAACTCTTACTCAAGTGTTTTTCCTAATATCCCAACTTGGGTATTTATATGGAAATGCATGAGTGTGAAAATATCTCCCATCAATGTGGGAGAATTTTAATACCCCATTTATTTTAAATCTAAAATAAAATTAATAATTAAACTAGAAATAAATCAACAAGTGGCAAGCATACAAGGAGGAGTAGGTGAGGACCACTTTAAGGAAGAGGGGACCAAACTTGCCCCCCACTTATGCCCCCATAACCCGCCACCTCCCTTTCTTCTCCTCCATTTGAGTTGCGTCACATGGAAGCTCACTTGGGCACCCATGGTTGCCTTGTGGGCTGCCATGGGGTGGTTGTGAGACTTTGGCCCACTCACTTACGCCCAAAAGCGTGGGCTACTAGCTGGCACGGCCTAGCAAGCCACGCACGAAGAGTGCGGGCTGCTAGCTGCCTCATGCTAGCATTGCCACGCACACTTGGTGCGGGTTGCTAGCTTTTTACCGCGCCCCTACTAGCACTCTGTTTTACCGATTCGGTCGTTGTTGATTTATTATTATTTTTCACATCTCGTCTTTTACTATTTTCGACTCGACTTTTGTCGCTCCAAGCTTAAATTTCCGACGCCTAAATATTCATTAATCGGTCAACTTATTAATTAATTCCTAATTAATTCGTCCTTTCGGTTTGTTAGTTGCTTGGGTGTGACTCGAAGGGTTCAGTTAAGATTAAGCTGTAATATTAATTATGCATTAATAATACTGATCGGAAGCGGCCTCCACTCAGGCATTCCGATACTTGACCTTATTGAATATATTAGCTTTCTAATAATTCTGAACCTACTAACGGAATAGTACACTTGTTCGAAGGACACCATTCCTTTCATTAAAAGTATTAAGGAAAATTTTTTTGGATCCAAGAGGTAAATTTAGGCCGGGTCAAGACCCTATATTGGCAAAACAATCCTATCAGGAGGTGCAGCAATATTAATTGGTATGGATGAAAATGAGTTCTCGAATATGACAAATCTTGATTAACTTAAAAATTACTACCTATAATTACTTGAGTAGGGTACTCAAGAAAACTACGTTTGGCTTGATTCCTTAAGAAAGAATACGTTGGCAACCCTTTACGGGTGCGTCCACTTTAATTTTCGAAAACATCGCATCCCAGATATAAAAAGAAATTCGACAGAAATTCGACGAAACATCGGCGTCACAAAAAAAATCTTGTTGCCGGACGATGTATTGCAGCGCCAAGCGACAACGTCTGTTGCCAGACGATAAACGGTAGCAGCCGGGGCCAGCCATAAAGTAACGGCGCCGCTCTTCTAGAAGTACCTGGGCAAATTTCGGTGTTTTTCGAAAAATTTTCGTCTTCCGTACTAGAAAAAATTTATGGAAAATAAAATATTTTGTTTTCATTGATTTAATAAATTAAATTTAAAGAAGATGATTTAATTAAAAAGCCGGAATTTCATTAATAAAATAAACTAAAAATTACATAACTGATGGAATTTAAATAAATCTTAATAAAACAAATTATCTTTAAATTTAAAACTATGTCTAATAAATTGAAAGTTAAGCAATGCTTCAATCTTTCTTCTCTTTCTTTGCTCTCTTCCAATTTTTATCTGTATCCTCTTCATCGTCCATGGCTTTAGCAAGTAGGCATCCCTTAGAGGACCTACATTCAATTTTGGAGTAAATAGTTTCTCCCTTAGGTAGGACTCCATGTTTCTTCTCTAACCAAACCTTCTTTTCTGAAGTGTCAGCTTTTCTTTTCCATTTATCCTTTGTAGAGCTCTTCTTCTTAGGCATCATAGGTGTTTTGAATTTAATTTTTCAACCCAAACGTTCCTTAACAGGAATTACGTTGTCACCTAGACGACTCTTCAGATCAGTTTTACTCCGATTTTTCATGTCCTTTGAAGGTTTTTTGAGAAGCCACCTCTTTACATCATTGGGCAAGAAAGGAGGAACCTTTTGGGTAATCACTTTCCATAAAGTTCTAGCTCTCCAGTATGCATCAAAATTTTCTACTTCGTGTGAAACAGGGAATTCATAGGGACGACGAAGATCACCAGAAGGAATTGTTTGAAGTAGGCCGTACTGTCTTTTTACCCTGCAGGGATAATAAAAAGTCATCTTAGTTAAGCTTGGAAGACGACAGAAAGGTTGCTTGTTGACACTAACCATCTTCTCTATTTTCCACCAAGGGATGACCCACTTGATAGCAAAGTTGCAGGAGGCAAAGACTTTTTTCCATTTATGGCGCCCTATCTTAGAGAAGCGTTTCTTTCGCCTCACAAATCAATTTGGTGTGTATTTTTCAACATTGTCGGGAGGAATAATTAATTCTAGTCTTTCCATGAACAACATCTGCAAAAATTTAATGCAAATAAATTAATATTACTATATAAAAATATATTTTTTATTTCTGTAATTAAAAATATAATTTTTTTACCTGTAATAAACTTGGAGAGACCCGAAAAGGTGCTTTTGGATTTCTCTTCAAATCATCAAGACTAAGCATAGTCTCTCCAACAATTAATGGCATTGGATTTCTCCCAGATTCGATTTGCTCCAATACAGTTGGTATGATTGCTTTTCCCTTATTAGTTCAACCACTAGTGAAAAGATATTGGTTAAGCATGCAAAAGAGAAAAGCCCTTCTTCTGTAAACATGAAAAGATTCAGAATAAGGTCTATCAAAGTAATGGTGTGCAAATTTTTTAAATTAACTATTCTACCATCTACAATATTTGTTAGATCTTTGTCTCGTAAATTAAAGAAGCTCTCAAAATCTTTATAATAACACTCATTTATTCTATGGATTACCGCAAGATCTAATGAAGGGAAGCCTAAAATAGCACCGAATTCTTCCGGTAAAGGGCTAATTTCATCACACCCTAGTCTAAAACAATGAGTATCCGTATCCCAATATTCTAAGGTGGTATGAATAAATTCTATATCAAGATCTACCCCCTTAACACCATAGATACCTCCCATATGAAAAAAGTCTAGTTATTTTCTCTCTTTGGCAGTTAAAGACCGACACCATTCACGTGTGAAGTTGGTAAAACTCTTAGTAACTAAAGACATGATTATTTTTATAAAAGCTAATACTATGTTTAATTTGCTAAAATTATGAAGAAATTCGGCAGATCAGGGGGCTTTTTATACACAACATTGATACAGTTTCAATCCGGAAAGGATTCGGAGTCATCTCTCTTCAGCGCCAAACGACAACTCTGTCGTCTGACGCCAGTGTCTGGCGCCGATCGCCAGCAGCGGCGCCTGGCGCCAACGCAAAATGCGTGGTGCCACGTGGCGCTGATGTGTCTTATCAGCGAACTATTCAAAACCGCGTTTTTTTTTGCTATGACTTGAACCTGTACAATGGCTTTACGATTTTATTCCTTATAAATTATTTAATTTCGATTTTTTCTTTTTTCGAATTTTATTTTGATTTAATTTATTTTTAAGTTCGTTGCAAATTCAATTTTTTTTCATTTTTTCTTTTTTGGGGGAGAAACTCGGATACCATCCATGAATAATAAAAATGACGAAATTTTTGCGCAAAATTATTAATTCAATTCTTTGCACACACAAACATGCACATAAAAATGAAAAATAAATACAAGATAAATAAAGTAATAATAAATAGATAACAATATGTATATACAAATATGTCTAATAAATGAGTCAATTAGGAAAAGTTTTATACAAGTTTAAATACATAAAACACACGTACAAACTACGGCGCTGGAGGATGTAGATGATGAGAGATGCCCATCATATCATAGAACTGCGCAGTACGAGGAGTATTCTCTCCACCAGCTTCAGCTCCAGTCTCTTCAGGAGGAGGAAAATTCAGCACAGAACGCGTCCACCAAAGGTCGCCCTGATGAACCGACAGAGGCTGAGGCTGCTGTGATGACGAGCCGACCTCATACATCCCACCACCTCTAGGAGCCGAGGTAGCCTCTGCCTAGCCTACCGGCTCAACACGTGCTCCCTCAGATGAAGAGCCCGAGCCTTCCACCGCCTCGGTCCGGGCAGCCTTAGATCGACCACCTCGACTACAAAACTTGTGCGGCGACTCCTCGAGCTAGACCTCGCCGGATCTCTCCGGACCTCAGGCCTCGTTTGGGTACAAGAAGGTATGGGCTGACCTGCAAGAAGAAACCAAGTCAGAAGCAATCAAAGAGAAACATAACAATGCAAAAATAAGGAGGAAAAGGTTACCTCCTAAAAAGACTCGTCACGACGACATGTAGCTACGTTCCTCATCCAAACGAGCTGGCTTCGGATGGCGTCTATACACAGTGCCATCGCCGTGACTATGTCGCGCGAGAACTGTCAAAGAAATAAAGTCAGTAACAATGAATGACATATATGAATAAATTACAAGTAAATAAACTCACCGAAGTCTGGTGGTGAGGAATCAATCGCTCCACGAAGCGATGATCCTCATGAGCCGGAGGAATCATCTCCTCGATAGGCCCGTATGTCTCCTGGTAATGGATGGACATACGAGGGAGCACGAGCTTAGTAGGCCCAGCCTGACAAAAGCAAACCAAAGTAAGTAAAATATCACTTGGGGGCTACTTAGCAAAAGTTAAAAGATGAAAATCATACTGTCGCCTCCTCAGACAAAACAGGGACTGGAGCTAACAACGGCAGCAACTCTTCCTCATAGCACTGCCTTGGGATCGCATGAGATTGCCAAAGGGTACCAGCCCTCTTCGACATGTTGAGCAGCCTCGCGTCATTGAACATATGACGCGACGGGGAAGAAGGGACGACGAAGACATTTGAGGAGTGCTGAATAGCAACCCTTTCTCCCAGGTATGAAACCGCCCCATACGTCCCTAAGAAGTAGCGACGCTTAGTAGTGTATTGCGCGGCTAGCCCAGGGACAACAAAGCCGTTCCACGGCCGGTACTTCACATCAGGCTCCCGCGAAGAATGCCTATGAGATGAGAATCTACAAAAAAAGTAATGCAAAAGTGTTCAACTATGCAAAATATTATACCGAGAGGATCTACCCTCGAACATGGGCGGTAGATACCTGAACGTGGGGGCATCCCAAGCAGGCGCTCACAGGAAACCTGCGTGGTGACGGTCTCGCCGGCGTAAGTGAAAGAAAGTACTCGTAGAACCAGATCTACAAAAGATAAAATATCAGCCAATGCTAACAAAAAGCTTAGAGCTAACTTTATAGGAGATAAAGTATACCTCTACGACTCTCCAAAAGCTGGACAGAGCAACGTTCCCCATGTAGGACCAGTGTCGACACGAGTCTCACAACGCCCGAACTAAATCAGCATAGGCCAAGCTAGCCCAGTCGTAAGTCCCGATCATGTGAAGATCGGACTGCAGGAAAGTAGTAAAGCAGCACTCTACTACCCTTGTTAAGGGAAAACGTCCCTGACATCAAAAGAAGCGCAAATATGCGCACCCGCTGCTCTTGGGTGGTCGCGTCATCCTCGGAAGCTGTCGCCAGAGTCGACCGGCGAATACCCTAGGCGCTGAACTGTGAGGACTCCACCTCAGCACGGGCCCGAACAGCAATCGGACCCAGCAACTCATCAACCTCAAGAGAGTATACGCTGATGTTACTGTCGAACGGCAGCGTAGTAAAACTAAAATCCAGCCTTGTAATGAGACTGAAGTCGGTTGGGGTGACCATCATCTCACCCCCAAGGAAAGTGGAAAGTATTGGTGGTGTCCCAGAAGAACTCCACCAGGGCGTGAGCCATGCGGTGACCTATTCAGAAGAAATCATAGCCTCAGCGACCTCGAACAGGGCAGTCATCCCACAAGACTCCGTCGACGTTAATGAACATTTTATACAGGTTTCCCACAGTATCGTTGCCCGAGCCATGGCAACGTGTTCTACCAGCAGTAATCCCACGACGCACCCTCTCAGAAATATGGTGGTCGGGGGAGAAGTACAAAGTCCGCTCATCCCACTCAGGGAGGGGAAAGAAAGAAGTGGACAGGTTGGCGTCCTCCTCTACGGGCTCATGCTCCCATCGTGTGTCTCTGGACCGTGATCCCAAACCTCGCTGTCTAGCCATACTACATTGTGCAAAATCAACATAAATTATGGTTCTATAGTATCTAAGGTTCGCCTAGACGCATGATACTATGTTCGCAAAAAATAGAGTACGAAGTACTAAAACAGAGCACAATTTCAATTTGACCATAAACTGCATTTTTCAAGCATCCAAACAATTTCTTGCAATACTATGATAATTATTGTGACAAATTGGGCAAGAATTGCTAGCAAAAACATCAAGAACAAGCCACATTGTCTTCCCGACCTTAAGAGGTCCAACAATGGTGATTCGTTCGTTTCTTCACCAAATTGAGTCAAACAAGTCTCAAAATACTCCCAAGGAAATGTTTCAAACATAATCAAGTAATTTCATGGCATAAAATTTGACAAACAAAGCGAATTAAGCAATTTAAAGTTCGAATTTTTCAAAAATTCGTGAACAAGAATGTCAAATTCATCAAAAAACAGGGTGAGCTTGAAGAAAACTTACATAGATTGGGAATGTGGATGGAAAAAGCTTCGATTTGAAACAAATTTGAGCAAAATTGGTTGAGAAATGAGCAAGAACGAGCAAGTTTAACTTCCGCGGCGATTTTCAAAGAAGAGCAGCAGCAGCAGCGACGAAATGAAGAAGAAAGGGAATATCTACAAAATTCCTTACTCTGGCGCCAAACAACAGCTTTGGCGTCTGACACCAGAGTTTAGCGTTTGGCGCTAGATCCATTGTCTGGCGCCAGAGCCAAATTGTGGCGCCAACAACGTTTCAGCGGCGACAGAACACTCAGCTACTCAAAACGCTTGTTTCGACCTCGTACAACAATTTTGGGTTCCTTGGTACACCAATTAGCCCCTCTAAGCAACTTGACGTGATTTAGTAATCAGCTCGGTTACAATCGCATTAAGTGATCAACTTGATGAATGATCGTCTCACTTAGCTTAAAGCGCCTAAGCATTGGCTCATCGGAGGCACCGACGTAATGGTTCGTAAACAGCAGAGGCACCGACATAATGGTTCACAAGCAGCAAAAGCACGGACGTACTGGCATAACGCAAGCAAAGTTCAAGCAAGCTTTTAAGGATTGACAAGCGTTGATCTTCGGTAATTTTCTTCGGAATATTATCACAACCACTGGAGATGACTTCAAGCGAAGATATCTTCGACGGCATTTCCTAGCTTGCGGAGGGTTGTCAAAAAAAACTGGAGGTGATTTCAAGCGAAGTTATCTTCGATCATATTCCCTAGCTTATAGAGGATGGTCACAAGGCGGAATCCTCTAGCTTGGGGAAGATCGTTAAAGCAGCAAGATAGCGTTCTCTAGCTTGTGGAAGGTTGTCACTATGATTCTAGGAAAAGGCTCGAGATGTAGCAGCAAAGGATAAACAGCAGTTGGTCTTCGGTGATACTCTTCAGGGTATTGTCGCAACAAATGAAGATAGTTTCAGGCGAAGCAATCTTCGATCGTTTTCCCTGGCTTGCGGAAGATGATCACAAAGCGCTAGAAGATCGTTTCAAGCGAAGCAATATTCGATGGGGTTCTCTATCTTGTAGAAGTCTATCACGACGGAATTGGAGGCAGTTACAGGCGTAGCAGTCTTATGGCGGTATTCTCTAGCTTGCAAAGCATCGTCAAAACGAACAGCAGGATGGAATTCCCTAGCTTGAGGAAAGTTGTCACAACAGCAAATACACCAACAAATCGGTTACCTCCAGAGACGTGCGCTCGACAGTGCAAGATACGCTTTTCTTAACTCTTTTATCTGTTTAACTAACGCTAGTTTGCAGGTTTCGGCGTTACAAGAATGATTTGGGGTCGCAAAACGTTCTGAATCATTCTCCATCCCTATCGATACTTTGACTTTTGTTTTCGAAACTTGCGGTTCTCCAAACTCGGTAAAAGTGGGGGCTTCTATAGACACCCATTTGTGTCTCCCCAAAATCGAACCCAGTGATGAGTATCTTTCGCGTCAAATCATAATCGAATGAAGTGAAAGTGTGAAAAGTCTAGTGTTGCGGTTAGTTTTTATTTCTCTTCTTTCTCTCTTTTTTTGAAAACCTATTTTATGAAAACAGCCAATCTGGATTGGTTTAGTCCATAGAAAGGGTCCAATAATAGTGTAGTTGGGTCGGGTTCGAAAAGAGATTTCTAACGATATATTATAAGCCCAATTCCGATGAATAATGAGAAAGTTATGGCCAAATTACTAAACTAGGCCCGGTTTGATATTTATGTGCGGCCCAATGATCTAGAGGAGGGCCAAATATTGATTTATTATTCCTAATGCAATTAGAATTGATTATAGTCTTCTAAATTCTTCTAGAAGGTTCTTTTCAATCCTAATTTAATTAGCATTGATAAATTAACTTTATTGACTCTTTCGAGTTTTAAATAGAATAAAAGAAGTGTTTTTAAGGAAAATACGATTTTGCCCTCTTGTACAGCTAAATTTTATCAAATTAAGAAAACGCGTGGAAATTTGTTTCCAGCGCCTGGTGCCATGCCTGGCTTCTGGCTCTAGACCTGGCGTTTGGCGCTAGAGTCTAGCGATTGGCGCCACGCGCCTGTTTGACGCTGCGATCGTGTTTTATTCTTTTCGAAACTTTGATTTGTTTTTTTGTCACATCCGGCTGATTTTCTCTATAAATAGCCTCCTCAAACCTCCGTTTTTAATCGAATAAAAAATCACCAACTCTCATCAAGAATCTCTTTATTACTCTCTCTCTTTACTAAACTACCTTTTGCATACAAAATTCCACATTCACAAGATCTAGAAACACCTAGCCAAGTTGGAGTTGCCTTTGCCCTAGATGTGAAAGGTTTTAATTTATGAGGGTTTGGTCCCAAATCTCTCTTTCAATTATTATTTAATTTAATTGTTTGATTATTATTTTCCTTGAAGTTACTAACGCGTGTACTTTGTTATTAAAAAGAGATACGAGACATCCAAGTAAGTACTTTAAATTGATTTATTGATGTTTTGATAAAGAAATCATGTTTAGGTTATTATTTTGATTCCTAGTATCATGTTAGGATGTTTTATTGATTCCTAGTATTATGTTTAGGATGAAGAATAAGTTTCTTAAATCAATTATGATTCCTAAGATGCTTCATATTTTCTTTCTTAATATCATGTTAGTATCATGTAAGGGTTAAAGCCTTCATTTTTATTGATTAGTGACATGCTAGAGTTTGTTATTAATCTTGTTAGTATCATGCGTAGGATCTTGCTATTATTATGCTTTAACATGATTATTTTGATTTTGATTATTATTATTATGATTATGATTATTGTTATGTTGCTTGTTATTTATTGTTATTGCTTTATCACGCCTTTTACGCATGTTTAAAGGGAATTGGTACTTGTAATCACACTTAATAAGATAATTAATAATCTTGTTTAGGGTTAATTTGATTATAATTCAAGTGATCACCAATAATAGTTTTATTTGTGCATTAATATTCAACGAACATAGATAAACATGTTTAGGGTAATCCTGTTGAATGCATGTTAGTCAGAAAGCGCACATGAATACGATCAGAATAAAGTAGAGGCGTATTATTAGGGCAGGTTCAATCTCTTTTAGGTTGGATTTGTACCTTCATCCTCGAACTACCAGTCATGGTTCTAGACCTATTGGAGTTGACGATCTCCTGGACCGTTAAGGGGTGTAACCTTCACCCTGTGAACGGTTTACGAGTTCCTAAAACTTGTTGGCGACTCTTTTGCTCTATTGTCTTTCCCTTTGGACGCCACCATGCTTAAGTGTATGATCATAGTGGGGTTCAAGTTTGGGGTAATGCTTGAAATATTCCCTACAGTTCCCTATATTTGTGAGTTAGATTTTGAATAAAGAGGCAAACCATCTCTCTTTCTTTGGGAGGATCCACCAAGAGTGAAGCTGTTTCCCTACACTTGTTTAGATAAGCGGTGAAGCCTACATTCTCTTTCTGTTTGAGAATGGAGAGTTCACGTTCAGAAGTTTTAGTTTGAATGTTACACTTGTAAAAATTCATGAAACTGTCGTGACATCTTGACAAGTCGCAATACGCTTGGCAACTAGGGAATAAAACCATTATTGGCAAGCATGTTCTAAGAAGAGAGGGAACACCGTAGGGAAGAGTGTTACGTCCAATCCCTTAAGATCTATGGTGTAGGGAATAAATTTCAAGCGTTAACCCCTAGCTTGAACCCCACTATGATCATACACTAAAGTAAGGTGGCGTCCAAAAGGGAAAGAAGATAGAGCAAAAGACTCGCTAACAAGTTTTAGTAACTTGTAAACCGTTCATAGGTGAAGGTTACACCCCTTAACGATCCAAGAGATCGTCAACTCCATAAGGTCTAGAACCAAATAAGGGTTTGGGGATGAAGGTACAAATCCAACCTAAAAGAGATTGAACCTGCCCTAATAATAGGCCTCTACTTTATTCTGATCGTATTCATGTGCGCTTTATAATTAACATGCAATCAATAGGATTAACCCTAAACCTGTTTATCTATGTTGGTTGAATACAATGCACAAATAAATCTATTATTGGCGATCACTTGAATTATAAACAAATTAACCCTAACAAGATTATTAATATCTTATTAAGCGTGATTACAAGTACTAATATTCCCTTTAAACATGCATAAAAGGCGTGATCAAGCAATGAAAATAAATAATCAAGCAACATAATAATAAATCAATCATGAATAATAATTATAATAATAATAATAATCATCATAAATTATAACAATTATAATCATAATCATGTTCATGTTAATATTAAAGCATAATAATAATAGCAAGATCCTAGGCATGATACTAACAAGATTAATAACAAACCCTAGCATGTCACTATGCAATAAAAATCAAATCTTTAACCCTAACATGATACTAACAATCATAAATATTAGGAAGAACATAGGAAGCATCGTAACAATCATATTTAATATTAAATTCACCCTAGACATGATACTAGGAATATCATAATAACAATATAAACATGATTTCTACGTCATAATATCAATAAATCA